TCCTTGGCCTTCCCTGCTGCACATGGCAGCACATGGCCCTGCCGTGGTGGCAGCCAGGCTGCCAGAGGTGAGCACTCTGCAGCAGCTTGATGGTCACCCAGCCTGGAAACCAGTGCAGAGAGACAGGAGGAGGAAAAGCCTTCATGGCCCTCACAACTGAAGGCACAAAGCTGTTGCTGCTGGGTTAGCTGTGCCTGGCCAGCTCAGGTGTTTCAGTTAGTGGCTCCAGTTTTGACCCCTCTCAGGCTGATGGCTGGAGTTGCCATGCCATGCCTGCCCTCGCTGCCAGGCTGTGCTCTGCCTGCCCCAGTGCCTGGCTCCCAGTATGTCCCTCGCCCTCCCACCCTCTCAGGTAGGTGTTGGTACCTGTTGGGACACGAAACCTTTCGCTCTGTGAGCTGAGTCCGTGTTCTTGTGGGAAAAGCTCCCCCCACCTCCCCGACTGCGTTGGCCCCGAGCTCTCCTGTGCCAAATGGAGATGGATGAGAAGTGACCAAGCGTGTCCCTGATAGCGGCGTCGCCTTTACCCTCCTGACTAACGGACTGTTCCAGGTAGAGCCCGGCCACCTGCCACTGATGCACCAGGTATGTCCTCAGCCCCCCTCCCTGAGGAAGGCAGCACCTGCCAGCCCTGCACCAGCAAAGCAACTAAGGAGGAGAGGTGTCAGTCCCCCTCCCAAGGGCTCACACTCCAGACCCTGCTCCTCTTGACTACCAGCTAAACAGAAGGGAAACAGCAGAAAATAACCAGGCGTCTGTCTTGGCCCTGGACCCAGTAAGGAGGCCGAGCTTTAGATCTGACTGCACAACGGATCCCTGTGTGTGTCTGATTTGTTACACGTGTCCAAGTCTCTGTCCACGACACTGTCATTCCAGATGGAGACTCTGTACAGCCAAATCTCCCCCCGCACGACAGTGGCTGGAGGCCTGGTCCCCACAGCCCCGGCACAACGGGCTGTGGCTGTCCCCATGCCTGGCTTTTGCTTGTCCCTACAGGAAGGAAAAGAGAAGGGGGGGGTGGACTCTTGCAGCTACAGGTAGAATTAGAACTGTTAATTAATATTTGACTTTCAAAAGTTGTTAAGGATATATTTTTGTTTGTGTTCTGTTTCAATTTCTGTAGATTATAAAATTTAAATGGCTGTAAAATCATGTGAGGAGAAAAAAAATGTTAATAAAAATGCAAAGCTCCAATATTTGCACAAAAGAAGCCCCGTGGTATTGCTGTTTGCACTAACTGATCACCTTGGCATCACAACTTCTCTTTCTATTGTGGAATTGTTGCTAGCTGGACTTCAAGCCAGTGGTATAAGCACAGGCTTTGTGCCAGGCAATCTTCGAAGAGATTTCTTATGGTTTGGGCTACATCCTTGCATTTCAGTACATTTTGGAGGAAAAAAAACCTGGACTGTCTGGAGCCAGCCTGTTTAATCAGCCTAGAATTACTCAAGCTTAAAATTCAGCTGACTTGCACAGCTTCTGGCCTGAGGATACTGAACAGGCACAGCAAGGGACATCAGGAGATCTGGAAACCTCATCTGATAGATCACATGGTGCTGTCTCCCCACTTCTTTCCATGTGGGAATGGGAACTAATGTGCCTCCAAACTGAACACTGTATCAGCCAAGTCCTCTTGCTAGTATCACTCTCCCAGGTAAGCAAGGGCTGTCACTGTTCTGGGATGTCAATGTGTGGATGCAAAGGAAGGGAAGTGGGTGGGAGAACCTCTATTAGGTGTGTGCACTGTTTCTGAAATCCCACTGCCTCAAAGAGATGGTGTGGGTGTTTGCCTTTGTAAAGTGGCTCAATGAAGGTTAAAAATGAGCCCCCAAGTTCTGAGAACAGTGCTTGGTTAGAAAGGTAGGAGGGCAAATAGGACCACAAATCAAAAAAGGGAGCAGCTCCTTGAGCTAACAAACCAATGTTTTGACTTCAGCACCAACATTCTGCAGGCTAACACTTCACTTCCCCCAGTGTAACACTGGGGCACTCAGAAGTGGCACAGGGACGTGATGGGAAGCAGACTGTGTGCTGAGTGAGTGCCCAGTTATCTGTCAAACAGTGGTTTATTCTCACAACTCTGCTTTCTAGTCTCACTATCAAACTGCTGGAACTAATGGTGTGAGCCTGGGGCAGTTAGAGCAGTAGCAGCATTGTTTGTACTCCCACAGCGAGGTTAAATCAGGCTAGCCAAGTGGCTACAGAGAATTATACTTCAGCAACAACCTCTTTTTTTCCCCTTAAACTGTTTTGTTCCTCTGCCAGTAACCACATGGCTCTAAGGCTAAGGATTCCTTTCTGCTTTTCCCTTTAAGACATGGTAAAGAAATCTGGCGCTCATCTCTGTGCTTGAAATAAGACCAATTGTACAGATGGTAGTTTGTCTTCAGATGGTATTTTAAGAAAAGCCTGGAACAAACTTATTTCTCCACAGGATCTTACCTCTTCCCACCAGAGTAGCAAGCTGCAAACTGACAACTGTTAAACACTTGCAGCACGTTCACACACGTGGTAACCTAAATCACTGCGTTTCTCTTTGAAGACTCTCCTCTGCCTCTTTTGATGCTAGCAACAGACTTAATCAAAATCAGACCCAAAGGATCGAAAAAGCTCAGAGTCCAGGCTTGTTTCCTGGAAACTGACAGTCAGCTGATCTGTCCTGGAGATGCTGCTCTGTGCCTGGCTCCATCCTCACATACTCCCTCAAGTCTGCCCGGAGCAGTCGCCAGGGCCTGGAGCCAGATTATTGTTAGTCATTCAGAAAAGCAGCCAAGGCTGTGCAGCTTGCACTGATCAGGACTCCAGAGGCAGTGGAAAGGTAACCCTGATGGTTGTGCTGGCTCTCAGCAGCAGCTCTGGAACAGAAGGGAATCTTGCTCCCGAGGGATCCGACTGTTACCGTAGGTAGTAATCAACTGCAGCGGAGAAAGCGGCGAATCCTCCGCAGCCAATGACCCCAGCCTTGAGCCCAGCTGCAAGGCAGGAAGGGTGTGAGAGAGTGAGACAAAACAGACAAGATATTTTTCTCCCCAGTTCACTAACTTGCACGGTGCTGCCCTGAAGAGCCCATACCTGCAGGAGCCTGTGCTTCAGGGAATACTGGCACAGCCACTGCCCAGTGTAGGGGGAGCCCGACTTAACCCCCACAGTGGGACCAGCAGGACACACCACCTTGGTGCTGTGCTGTTCAGTCTTCCCCAAGGATAGAAGAGAACATGCCAGTGGCCACTGATGATTTTGGTGTGCTCTGATCTGAGGGCTCTGTGGGACTAGAGAGGGATAGGAAGAGCAGCTACTGCTCTGAAAGCTCTAAGAGGATTAGGTTGAGGACAGACACAACTTAACAAGCTCGATTAGAAGCACTTTCAAAAGAGCTTTCTTCTATTTTTTTCTCGATGGACAGGGTTTTTTTCTTAAGGAGAGGTGAGAGAAGTTTGATATTTCTGATGAGCAGAGCAGGTCTCTTCCTACTTGGGGCTTTTTCCAGATGTTGTTACCATTCAAGGCTTTCCAAAGTCCCCACTAGTGCTGCTGGACTAAAACCTCAGTGTTCCTTCTCTTTTACATCTTAATAGAATTGGCTGTTTGGACTGATACGTGAAAAAGGAGGAAAATATTTTACACACTGTGCAAAAGAACAGAGCAGAATTCTTTAGTTCTAATTTCAGAGTAGTAGAAACAGTGAAATAGTAGACAGAAGCAGAGCTCTGTTAACACAAGAGCTGTAGCTTCTGAGTTGCTCTGTACATATTTTTGGCTCCCTCCCCACACCACCACAGAAGAGTGTGGATAGTCAACACCATCTCCTGATTTTTCTTTCAAGCTAATTATGTTAATTTTCCTCCAATCTCACTGTCCTGTACAACCAACCCTACCCTACCCACACCTTGGAGCCGACAGGAAAGCGAGGGCGCAGTTCTGCCAGTCTGGAGCACACTCTCACGTGGGCTTCACCATGGCCCCATGCAAAGAGGTTTGCAGTGTGTGCTCCATGAAAAACACTGTTTGCTGCATAACCAAACTCAAGTCTTATCACAGAAACAGTTCCTAGCAGCAGCACCAACCTCTGAAGCCAATGGCTCCTCCCGTGATGCAGCCGCTGATAACGCTGTTCTTCCAGTCCGACTTCCCACGATACTGTGGAATTAATACTCAGAGTCAACAAGGAAATACAGAATAAACACTCAGTATCTAATAGCAAGAAAGATTAAATGACCTTCCAGCCCCTTCTCAGCTAAGGATGTTCTTCCCTCTGTTCTCAGCAGATGGCCCTGCACTCCCAGACTTGCAGGATTGGGAGACAGGGAGGAACAGGTCACGGGGAGAGGTAAGACAAATCCATGTGGTGCAATGCAGTGCTACAGCACAGATCCTCAGGTGAGCTGGGACAGCCCTCAGGACACAGCACTGAGCAGCTGCTCAGAGGGTTGAAAGGTGCAAGAACTACATGAGAGCAGCCCTGAGAATGGCCATGCACAGGTGAGAGCCACAGCACCTGCTGACAAAGATGGACTATTTCCATAGCCAAGACACACTGGATTTTCACCAGTGCAGAAATATCTTTGTTCTGCTCCGCTGTGCAAGCAGATACACTTTTCTTCTAGGATGAGTTCAGAAATAATTGTGTCTTTCAATTCAAAGACAGGACTCAAATTCCTAACCAGGTAATTTTCCTATGTAAGAAAAGAGATGATAGATTTACCACTGAGCTGCATAAGGTCATTTCTTGCTGTAGGGACAAGATGAAACCAGGCCTGTTACTTAAGAACTCTCATCAAAGGATCCCTTCCTGCATATGAAATTTTTAGACACTCAAATTACCACATTGCAACTTACAGTTTGATGCTTTAAAGTAACAAGTACTTGTAGCTAGGGTTTTACAAAGTAATGCCTATACTTGCCAGGAAAGAACAAACTAACCTACTGCCTTGTCCTGTTACAAAGGGGATACACATACAAGATTATTAAGTGTCCAATAAAGCATTTCTCAGTCCTGAAGAAGTGACTACTCACAGATTCCACCACACACTCAGTGAAGGAGAACATGGCACCCACGATGGCAAAGTTCTTCGCGTAGGATATTCCTCTCTCCCCCATATCCTTGAGGACCTCTTTTGCCGTTGGCGTGCGATAGGGATCCTTGGGATCAAACCCCACGTTGGTGTCAATGCCAGCTGTGAAGATTCCAAATGCACCTCCCAGAACAAACCCTGTGAGAGACAAGCAGTATGAAATGAACTCAGCTGAAGTTGTGCAGCACACACTCCCTGCAGGCACTGGAGCAGCTCCGTGAGCAGTGTCAGCGCAGCAGCGTGACAGGGGCAGGGCAGGAGCACACATGGCCAGTCACTAGGTGCTGTGGACACTTGTTTGCAGTCTGTGCTGGGTGAGGGAGGCAGACAGAGCTCCCTCCCTGGGACCTGCGACAGGCACTGCACGAGGCTTAGATGGAAGGAAAAGCAAACACGGAGCCCTCGTGCTGGCAGCACCTTCTCCATCCACCCCTTTCCCAACA